TGCCCCGCCCCCGCGTGACGCCACGGCCCCGCCCGCAAGCGGCGGACAAGTCGGGACTTGCAGGCGCGCGACGCGCCCCCCTACCTCAGCGCGGGGGGTTTCCCTGCAGCCGGGGGCGGGGCAGGGCCTGGCCCTGGGGGAGAGGAGGACCGAGGCGCGCTGATGGGGGACGCCCAGCAGCGAGACAGCCGGACACACACTGACACACTGACACACTGACTGGGACCCGCAGATACACTCCCCTGGAGACATATACACAGACCGACGGACTGGCGCTCCAGCGTACACAAAGTCACGTGCTGACAGGGCCACTGAGCCATACAGACTCACGGACACATGGCCACGATCTCACAAATGCACACCCTGGACAGGGGCATGACACGGGACACACAAATTCACACCGATGGAGTACACACACACACCCAGACGCAAATGCACAGACCCGCCGGCAGGGTTACCTGGACACGCAGACTGACACAGTAACAGGGACACATATAGTTGCACACACTAATGAGCACACACAGACCCACAAACTGACAGTGTTCATAAACATCCCCACTGAGCAGGCACCCACAACACACACATAGTGATGCACCCTCACAGACAGGCTGAGTGCTTATCAGGAAATGCAGACTTCCTAACAGACACACTGGACACACACACACATACACACAGACACCTGATACAGGGACACCAGGACACGCAGCCTGATCCAAACGACACTCCCACAGGGACGCACACAAGCACACTCACGCGATCATATGGCTAACACATTGAAACTATCAGAAACATCCTCAGAGACATAGATCCAGTCAGACATAGCAGAAAATGACTCCCAACAGTCACAAAGTCACACCTGTGACAGGTTCCTGCTCATTGGCCCACTGACGGGACACTCCAGAACATACACATCTGGCCACACTCTCCACGAATATGGTAGTGACTCACGGTGAAGAGGAAGCCCTGGGCACCTGGCATGGACATGCCCGGGCAGACCCCTGCACCAAATTTCATTCTGTCCTGGGGGTTTCTGTTTCCTTTCCCTTTTCAGTTTCTCATTGTCACCCCCCTTCCCTCCTCTCCTCTGACTTGGTGACTTTCCTCCCAGAGCCCTGGATTTCTGTCTCCCTTGCATTTTCGTTCCATTCTCTCTGGGTCTCACCCAAACCAAATCATCTCACCAGAGGGTGAGTCACCTCTGAGTGCCCAGCACTGGGCTGGCTGAGAAAGGATGTCACAACCAAGCAAAACAAACTCACACAGGTTCTCAATTTGGCTTCCTCTGGGCCACATCTTTAAATTTCCCAAGAGAAGCAGGAAATCCAAATCTCACATGAAATCTCCCATATTTTAAATAGTGGGGACTAATTCAGCCTTCCTCCCTCCTCTTCCCCCATACACGCATTCATTCATTCTCCCCTCCTTCCTCCCCAGTGGGTTGTTGGTTTTTTTTTTTTTTTTTGGTGGCTGGCTGGTATGGGAATCCAAATCCTTGACCTTGGAGTTATCAGTACCACACTCTACCTAGTGAGCTAACTGGCCAGCTCCCAGTGTTTTTCAAACTGTGGGTCATGAGGAGCCAACCATAAATTGTGAAATCACTTTTGTGGATCTTGTTGTTTTCTTTTTGTTTTGTATTGTTTTGTTTTTTTGGCAGCTGGCCAGTGCAAGGATCTGAAGCCCTGACCTTTGTGTTACGATACCACACTCTAACCAATTGAACTAACCAGCAAGCCCGGGATCTTGTTTTCTATTCAAGTTTATTGAGATATATTTACACACAATAAAATTCACTCTTTTTAGGTGTACAGTTTGATGAGTTTTGACGAAACTACACAATTGTATACCATCACAAACAAGATACAGACGATTTCTATCACCCCAAATACTTCTCTTGCGACCCTTTGTAGTCAATTCCCCCTACCTGCATCTTTAGTGACTCTTGGCCAGAGTTTTAAAAAATACGTACTATAGAATGTAATTTTTAAAAACCATATAATCAAGGGAAAGTATTGTTTTGTAAAACTTTTATTTATATATAGTGAGTACATACAAGGTCCCAAAGAAAGTATATTTCTTACTGAAGATCAAATTCAAAGACATTTGAGAAATGCTGCTTTAGACACTTATTAAATGAGATCGCACATGGAAGTTATGCCGTGCAGTATCTGGCACGTAGTAAGTGCCTAATAAATTTAGCTATTATCACTAGTATAACTAATTATTGTCAATGTTTGCTCTGTGCCTGGCACTAATGAAGTTGGGAGGGGGTAGATTCTAGCCTTCTG